AATATTTAAATATTATTACATGTACTTTGCTTATACATACATATATTTAGTCATAATTTTTCTAATTTATGAAAGATCAATGAAACTTATTAATAATTTAAAGAATACACATTAGCACATAAAACTAAAGGTTTTCAAAAAATATGTTGATTCTGTTGTAATTCAATTTTTCCTGTTAATTGTTATGTAAGTATGAAGTTAGAAAAATATTCTAATATATTTTACTTACATGTTAAATGCAATATACAGTCATAGCAAAAAATCAATTATTGATTTATAGTCATAAAACCTATTTTTTAAATACTGTTTAGAGAATGTTCTATAAAATTATATAATTTATGCAACAAATATTGATAAATTGAAAAATATGTAACAACCTATTGCTCGTGTATACATATTTATGTATATATATTCATATATATTATATATGAAATTGAGAGCAACATGTTTCTGGAATTAGTCATTCAGTAAATTTATTTTTTTGTAAACTATAAGTTATCTACTTCCATGGCAGGATTTTCATAAGATCGTTTTAGCTTCTTTTCTGTTTTTTCTTCTTCATCTGCCCAACTCTGTTTTTCACCAGATGCATATAAACCATATATAAGTGCTCCCAGTAAATAAACTGTACCAGCAATAATGAAGACTATGCGCCACTCTCCAGGACTCTGCACAATACATTATTTTATTAATATATTATATCAAAAATGTTGAATATGTGTATATGTATATGTTGCAATATATATTATTATTTACTATTTTTTATGAAGTAGAAGTTATACAATTTTTTTTACTGTAATAGTACATCAAAAAATAGAAATAAGGGAAGTACATTGCAAAAAGAACTCACTTTATTTTGCACGATATATCCAGTAATAATAGGACTAACAACACCAGGTAAAGTAGCAATAGTGTTTCCTATTCCCATAAGTACACTTGCATGTTTAGGAGCAATATCTAAATGATTTACTCTAAAAAACACAAAATTTGAAAATTAATTTGTTAAATATTTACTTTGCTATTAGCTTAATACTTTATGTAAAATTCGTTATATTGTAACTAATAAATTAATTTTAATAATATATGATGAACAAATTAGACTAACTTTTACTTCAAGTCCTATAGACATTCGAAGTAAAATTAAAATGATTTTTTGTATTCTTTTCATTAATGCCTTAACTTATAATTGAAATTTAAAAAATTTACCCGAAACCGGACCATGCGAAACCGCCAAGACCAACTGCTATGGTAATACAAAAAACCACTCCTGTTGGAGTAAAAATGAAAGCAGTACACGTCATAAATATTGTTTGAAATATGAAAGCTCCGCAATTAAATAATTTGCGAACCTACAACAATAAATTAACCATAATCATTTTTTTTAATTGTTCAAAATATTATGTTGATACAGAAGTATTGACGTTTTTATACGTGATTAACAAAAAAATTGTTCCACTTGCAACAAATAACATCTGTTTTTAAACTATTATAACGTGTATGAAATACTTCTATATCTATATAATATAATTAATATATTATTACATAATATAATATTAATATAATCTAATATAATAAATAAAAGAACGTCAAAACTTTTGCATCGATCGGATATGTTTAATCTATCGATAGAAGTATAAACTAAACAAAACTCATATACTTTAATTGCCTATAAAAATTATAGTAATACTTAATATTTTTTATAAATATTTATCTACTCTTGTTATATACTTTGTTTTTAGATAACGTACATTTAATATTAACAATTTAATTTAAAAATGCCTGTATGTAATTAAAGTTTTTTAATTATTTGGAAAGAGGTAGAAAATACGTGAGCTGACCTGCGTGGTTGTCAAAATTTTCTTCGCCCTCAAGTGATCTGCTAAGTGTCCAGAAAATTGTACAACAATAGTCATAGCAAGATATGGTAGGGCGGATAAGTATCCAGTCTTATCCAATTTGAAATCGAGAACGTCTAAGAATATTTCAATTAATAATGTTTACAATCAATGATGATGCTTTTCAAGTAATGTGTTTTACCAACCATTCATAAATGTTGGAAGTTGAGTGAGCATGGTGTAGAAACCCCAGTTTTCACTAAAATGTGCTGCAATGATAGCCCACACTGGTGGAGATGTTAACATTGCCTTCCACGGATGAGTAATTTTCTGTGCAATACAAAAATAATTTTTTGTATAAACAAAATATCTCTTTACTCAAAAAAGTGTTTTACTACTAATGAAATATTCAAGATATTAAAAATAACTAAAGTAATTAAAATATTCAACGTGCAAAAAGTATTAGAAACGAATATTTAAAAAATATTTGTCATTAAAAATAAATATTTGAAGAAATAAAATATTTTGAATAGTGAAGTATATTGTGAAATATTTTTTTCTTCAATAAGGTAAAGTAATACTAAATGTATTTTAAGTTTATCGAATATTCCACTATAATTATTGATTTAATTAGCGCTTGAAATATTAATCTTATAAAAAATTTACGTATGTTATTTTAACCGACACTTATTGCGAGTAACCTCGTATATCAAAATTACAGATCATTCAAATAAAAATTAAATTTCAAAACTTCATTGACAATTTATTTAAAAAAATTTCTTTTACTTATTATATGCTCTATTTTATTATTTTAATTAACATTACGTTAATGGTATTTTAGTCGAAGATTCAATTACTTTCATATTTACTATTTTATTTTTACTTAAAGTGTTTATTATTTGGCTGTTGATGTCCATATAATGAACAAATTAACAGTAAACGTATCTTACGATACTTTTTTCTTAGTGGAAACAGAAATAAAGGGAAAGACAAAAATTGAACAACTGATTAATCGGACAATATAGAAATCAATATAAAGTTAAAGGAACAAAAGAAAACATAAAATTTTAAATCAAACTTTAAAACCGGCCATTTGACTGTTCGTGACACGTTTAGTGTTAATATATATATAGCAAATAAATCACTCGAAAATAATTTCTTTAATATTATTTTGAAGTCTGTTTTACCCTATTTCTGTTAAGTCTATTTACCTCGTCCGTTTTAGTATGTCCAAGACTAGTTTTGATGTATTCAAGTTCCGCTTCAGATATATATGGATCGTCCTCCGGTTTATCTTTTACGATTATCCACCATAGGAAGAACCACACAAGGCCTGCTGCTCCGAAGACATAAAAAATGGACTCCCAGCCAAGGTATTCAGCCATTATACCAGCAACAGGCATAGCGAAAACAGTTCCAAGGAAACTTCCAGAAAACGCGAGGGTTGCTAATTTCGATCTTTCCAAGGGAGGTGCCCATTGCGACCATATTGCGTGTATGCAAGGATACGTAACACCCTATAGTGAATTAACAAAGGATAACTAATGAATAACGAATAAATTTTATAAATAAATATAAGATGTATTTAAGGAGGATTTATAGTAATGAACAAATCAATTTTATAAATAAATATAAGGTTAAACAAAATTGAGGTTATTTATATTAAATAAACCAATAAAACATTGAAGAATAAAAGTAAAACTTATCGATTATATAGTAGATTATTATACATACAGTCAACAATAAAAGTATTTGAATAGCAAGGTAAAAAATAAATTATGAATATTTATAATGAGAAATATTCTCAAATACGGAAGGTTAATAGACGAAGAATCATTATTTTCTCGTGTGTATTTTTCATATGCATGGTTTGCTTTATTCTTTTTTACGATAAAATCTACGACGTTGTTTAAAAAACATAATAAAGGATTTGAGAAAAAAGTCGAAAAACATCAAGGCAGGCGCCAAACGGGTTGAACAGCATTTTTAAATGTTGAGGTGTTTCTGAATTATAACTGTTACACCATTTCTGTTTTTTTTATAAAACGATCTGTAGTCGTTTCAGTATGTTCAAATTTACATTGAGTCCATTTGTTCATTTTTAAAGGGAAATTTTTCATATTAATTTTTGCTATAGCGTATAATCGTGAAGGCAGTGGTGATTAATAAATTGTGCAATATAGATTCAAATTAATAATAAATGAATGTAATATCAAAAGAGGTGACAATTCCTAAACAAAGTAATGATAAAAATTGAATCTTTTAAAATTTAATTTATATTTGAGGGTACGAAAAAAATCGTAAAAATTAAATATTTAACACTAGAACTAGAGTAATCAAGTGGATTTTTTGAAATTTCTTTATAGAAACTCCAAGAACGCATTTATTAAGAGATTTCAGTTTATTTACAAATCAATTTGAGTACTGCTAAATCAATTTCTTTAATAATTTCTTTGAAAAGGATCTGTTATAATTTCAATAGTTGCAAACAGAAGAAATCGGGTATGAGTAATTTTGACCGGTCTGGTGGTTCTAGTGTTAAATTGATGTGCCTACCTCACAAATTCCTTCGATTATCCTTAAAGCAATGAAAATATAAACGCTTATTTTGACCAGTGGCGGTGTGATGATTGTAAAAAAAGCTGTGGCTGCGATTCCAAGACCGAACACCCTTTTTCCACCAATACGGGCTCCAAGCCATCCTCCGAGTAATTGTGTGCTCAAATATCCATAGAAGAAGGAACTAAGAACCAGTCCTTGCGTTTTCGAATCCCAGTTGAATTCTTTTTCCTGCAATGGATACTCTGAATGCATATAAAAGTAAACAAAATAAATATTCATTGTTTACACTGTGCACTACATTGCTTCTTTAGTGTCGTAGAGAAATTTATATTCAAATCACAATAACAGCAATGAATTAAATACATTGAAGCTTATTTCGAATGAAAGTGTTCAATTTTTGAGTAGATGAACTGAATAGAGAAAAATATTAATTTTGTAATATATTAAAAAAGAACTTACATTAGAATTTCTATTAACAAAACATTTCTTTAGCTTCTTAGAGTATTTAAAAACATTTTTTGTTAGTAGAAATTTTAATATAAGCTCTTTTTTAATGCGTTACAAAATTAATACTGTTTATTTATTTAGTTTTTTAAAAATCGAACAATTTTATTCCATATAAGCTTCAATACGTTTAATTTATTACTGTTATCATGATGGGAATATAAATTTTCGAAAACTGAATGAATAATTAGAGAATATTAACGATGATTGTTTTCGAGATTAATAATAATTGTTCAATTCCATAATGATGAAGAATATACAGACAGTGTTCAACGTTGTAATAATATCTATTAATCGGACATTGTGTAACAGTTTTTTATTTGTGCACATCTGATTAGTTGAGCTTGAAAGAAGGCGATATAATGAGATTTTCACAGAGCGTAATTGATGAACAAGTTTCTCCGTATTACGATAAGGTAAATCCAGACAAGTGTTTATCAGCAAATACAAATTAATCTTCTTCATTCGATTTCCAAACATATCATTACCGATAAGATCGTTTCTTTAATCCATTAATGTTACTTATTATTATTAGTACATTTTGAATACTGTTTATTTTTGTTGAATAGCTATCTCATTGTATATTATAATTTTTATACCTGCTACTCATGTATCTATATTTTGTATATAATTTCCATGGTATCAATATACGAACCATAAAGTGCTATTGACATAATCAATAATTCACATTTCATTTTATTTTAGTAATGAATATTATATGCATTCATGTTAGCATTTGTTAAATGTATTTTCAAAATTGTTTATCTATTTTTGCATTGGTCATCTGGTCTGTTTCCATTTGGGACTTTTTTATACATCTATGATAATTATATTATAAAATTTTAATAACTTGAAAATAATGGAAAGAAATTTTTTTACACAAATGAATAATACAAAAATGTGTTTCAGTCAAATAACTGATATTTTATAAATATACTGCAGCAATATCAATATAAAATTTTATTAATATTCTAAAATTAAAATGTGAAGCATGAACGTGTATAAAATTTATGAGTAGGTAATAAAAGAATTAAAATATAAGATAAATTGAAATTCGATGGAAATTAGGTTTTGTCCAATTATTTTTATTACATATACTTCCATCGCTTCTTCAATGGTAGCTTGAGAATTTAATTCTTCTATTGGACCGATCAAAGATGATAGAAACTTCCGCTACTTACGGTATAAGTATTTCCGTTGTCATCGACTTTTTCAATATCCGCAGTCATCGCGACAATAGCCACGCTTAAATTGACGCGAAGAATGTACGACGTGAAGAATCCGAAAAACGCCAATATTGCAACCACGTATCTTCTTTTTTTCCAAAATTTCCATGACGATACCAGTTCATCTTCGTATTTGACACTATTGACAGTTCCACAGAAAATTACTTATAAAATTTTGATTAAAATTTTATGTTGCACATAACATGACTCATTGTTAAATTTGACGTCTGCCTTCTTAACTACACTTTCACAAACAGACATTCTTAAAACTAGCTATCATTCCTATTTTAGTTCAACCGTTTAGAGTCAAATGTTACTGTAATGGTGATTTTGTGCTTTGATACTTAAAACCGAAAACTGCAAATAAATAATATAATTATTCGAATAATGAGAGATTCAGACATATTTACTTTTTTCTTAAATATTTAAAACTTTGAAATATAATTCGGCTTTTTATGGAAAAAGATTTTAAAAGTTTGGAAAATTGTCAGACGCAAAGGGTTAATCATGTGGTACATCAGTCAACTCAGATCAATGTATTTTATTTATTATAGTAAAACAATTATAATAGTTTAGGATCTCTTCATAAATATTTATACTATTTATCGGAAACAGGTAATTAGTAAATAAACAATGAATAATGTATTTTAATTTATATTGAATATTTTGTTTATAGTTAAATTGTACTCGTGTGTATATGAATGAATTGTATATTTGTAATTTAGATATGTGTAATGAAGGATTGAAAAACTAGGTTTAATATATCAAGATAAAATATGATTGACAAGATTATTTTCTGATCTAGGGGATAATAATTTTTATCATGCGTTCAAAATGATGAAGATTTATTTAATTGTCAGATACTCCTCTTTAAAGAACGATATCTAATTCTTATCTTATTCTTATCTAATATCTATTGTTACTACTATTTGTTAATATTTTCATATGCCTTAACACTTAAAATTTGTAAGTTTAATTTTACGTTATACTTCAAAGAACTACTTAAGCGATTCTTAAATATCCTAAAATGTAATAAATAATAAAAATAATAAAGAAATTAGCTCTTAAAATTATCTTTAAAAAATGAGTTACGAAAAATTTATTTCTACGAATAATATAAATGTACAAAATAATAATAACGGTATAAATGTATTAATGTTTTGCTGGTAAACATAAATAATCATGTTTTTAATAATAAAGTAGTGATACATTTTATAAGAAATGTAAAGCAAGAAAAACCGAGCGTTTTAACATGATTGTTGCAGTTTAGTAAGATTATTGCAAGTAATGCTTATAAAAATGGTGACAATAGATTTCTTCGATTTCTTCGCATATTAATAATAGTATTGCAATGAAACTATTTATTTTTCAAATCATTTCGGATATTTAACGCTTTAAAGATATCAATAATTATGAAATAAGAAAACTGAAAACCGTCATTTAAGTGTTAAAGTGATATTATAATAACATACATCCATAAAAGTGTCATTTATCATCTCAATGATTGAAAGTAAAAACGTTTCCACCTGAAGCAATAAATTACATTAGTGAATGTGGAAGAGTTATTATTTCAAAATTCAAGTTATTTTATTACATTTTGTCTTGTACGTCGGTGGTAACCACAACAGTATATTGTGTAATCTACGTACAACGGCCTGCACATAAATTACGTTCCACTATTATTGGCTCTAACGATCTACTGAAATTTACAGCGAACAAAAATTCGTGTAAAGTTTTTATATGCGATATCAATTTATTTTGAAATGTAGAAAGGAACTACAGCGCAGTAAAGCGATGCATTGCAGAAATGTAAAACTCACGTTCCGTATTCGGTATCCTTGGCAGTCTCGGCCGAGGACTTCTTTCTCTCCATTGTGTCCTGAAAGGTTACTGGTTTCAAACGCAGCTCAGCGAAATCTATTATACTTTGTGATATGAAAAAAAGCAATCGCAGAAAATACGGCTTTATTTGCACATGGCTAACCCAAATTGACTGTTGGACTGATTTTTATGTATTTATGAAAAACATGAAAGTGCAAAATAATAAAATATCCAAAGTACAGTGCTTTATAATATTCATTAAAAAATAATACTTTCTATCGTTTCTTTTTCTAATTAACTGTTAAAACTTTTCTAATTTTCGTGTTATTCTTTGAAAAATAGATTTAATCTTAGCACAAACTGTATATCTTTAAGAATATTTCTAATTTTTTACATTTTAATCACAAAACGCATAAATAATCTGTTAATCATAAGAATAAAAAGAAAAATTTGGTTAATACTTTAAAACCTTCTCGTAACAGACCAAAAGAGTTTAATCTCGTATTATCAGTACTCAGCCCAAAAAGATTCATAAAAATCACTTACTTTTACGATTATTTCTTGAAAATCACCCCTTAAAAAGAGTTGAAATAAATTCATTAATAATCCTAGTTTTCTGTTTTAAAATTAAAATTTATGGTAAATATCAAACATATTTTTATGTATACTTTTATAACGAAGCATGTGTTTAAAAAAAATTATAATCATTTAGATAAAGTAAAATAATTTAAAATTGAAAATTGTGTTTCCTCGACTTGCTAACATAAAAAAGTTTAAATTATATTAAACAAATTGAATTAAATTAAACAAGAAAAAAATATCATGGGCATGACTTGACTTATCAATATCAGAGAAAGGATTGTACTCAGAAGTTGCCGCAATGACCTAATAATACCACGAAAGTAGAAAGTGTTGTATTTTAAACAGACAGAGAAGGTACGGTAGCAACGGTAGTTATGTTTATATTACTACGTTATAAACGAAACAAAGAAATTCGAAGTACATAGCGAGGATCAAACATATTCGTACATTTCGTCTATTGTGTGTAATAATAATAAAAGTACATTAATCTTAAACACAATTATAATATACAGAATATTATAAGAAAAGAAAATAGATATCGTAAAGTTCGTTCTTAGATTGTAACATATAAGATGTCCATTTTCATCAATAACAGTATTTATCACATTATTTATCATTGCAGCTTTATTATTAATCAAAGCATGTATTATACAAATTGAGAAATTTTTCCATTGAGTCATAATGTTTTTACTTCCATGCCTTAATGTCTGCTAATTCTCCAACAGACTGCTACGATTATAATTTTCGGAATCTTATCTTTGATAATATTTGAAGTTCTACTCTACTCTTCCCCCTTATACTTATCTCAACAAGTACATTAATAATTCGACAGGTGCAATAATCTAGTTTAAAATCAGTAAAAAAGATTGATCCGACTTTCATGCATATTCAACGCGTTTTACTTGAAGAGGAAAAATTCCGTACTTCATGGAACTGATCAAGGTTTACATTAAAGAAAAAGGAAACAATAAAATATTATTCTTTATTAGAATAAAGGAGAGATAAATTAAAATAATCTAGAAGAAAAACATTAATAAAATTATTAATAGCAATAAAAATGAAATTTTATTATTCATTGCTTAATTTATTTGTAAATCGTGAATATTACAAGTGATGCCAAATTTTGAATAGCAAACTTTTTCCAAGTAGATACCTTATATGTTAAAATGATATCCAACCTAATGATTAAGATTTTGATGGCAAGAAATCAGTTTTCTCTTGTTAAAAATCTATCAAAGATATTATTATAATTGTTCAGTAAACGATTTGAACTTCGAAATACATAATAATAAACATAACATGAAGCTGTTTACTTTACATTGCGTTAGCCATTATCAGGTAACTATCAGTAATATATAATCTACATTACCACGACACTAGTACCCGATAACAAAATGCACATTCAAATTTTGTTATAGTAGACAACATGTTTTTTTAGCACTTCATTTCTGCTGAATAATATACGGAAATGAAATTTTTATTTGCTAATAAGTTTGTAATCGGAACAACAGATCAATGCACTAACAACATATATTCATTGTTTGCATTAGACAATAATCGAAAATGAAAATGTACAAAACACAATCATAATCAACAAAATAACTAACCAAATGCTCGATATATTGAAGCAATGTGAGAAGCATACGACTTTTTATTTTTATTTTTATTTTTATTTTTAATTTTACTTTTACTTTTTTATTTAATATTCTTTATTCAATACTATTTAACATTATTCAATATTATTCAATGTTCTTGCTAATACAAATATGTCTGTCCTCCAACGTACATCGACTGCTAAACATTATGTCCAAACAAAGCTCGACAAGATCAAACCATTCTTCATGCAACTATAACACTACAAAGTAAGTCAAGTGGTATTTCACTAAGCCACAGCTTCAAACTCGTTTTTCCTTTCCTTTTCGTAGCCAGCGACACAGATTGCCGGCGATGCTCGCAGCCAGCGTGGCCACATTACTGTAATGCGAGGCAATCGTAGAGGCAATGCTTATTTCAGGTCAATTCTCACGTTCCGATCAAAATATTCTCGTTCGTACTCTCTGGTACCGTCTAAATACCTCGTCCGAATGCACTATCAGTTTTTCAAGTACACTCGTATCCATGGATAGCTTATCAACATATTCGCGCGACATTCTCGGCGCAGGTACCGCGACAACCTGTTACGCAAAGCAACAGTTGTGAACACACGTGCGACCCGTGTGCGTTCGGCGGTCTGCACCGAAACGCTTTAACACGTTTACTGGCATGGCGGTCATCGATTCTGAATTGCATCGAAACAATTATATCGTGTAAGATAACTGATATTGAGTTTTTCATTACAAGTATTTAACATTTTCTGATCAGAGACAAATAACATCTTTTGAAACTAATTTAACTATAAATTACACGTAAATTAAGAAGCAAAGCTATTTTATTTTAATATTTTACATATTGATGTATTCTATGAAGCTTAATGTTAAATATCAAACTATAATGTTGTGATTTTTTACTTTATAATATTGATAGTCGCCTCTCGAGTGCTAAGGGTTAATACTAGGTTTACGAGCATTTACAGTTCACTTTATTGTTCTTAGAAAAACTGGTGTTAGATAAGAAGGTTAGGTTAGAGGTTTGATAATAAATAATTGCGATATCCGGATAATTGCATCAATCCAAATCGTCGTAAACATTTATAAAGCAATATTTACACAATCCAATATACCTCAAATTAAATCGTAAATCCAGTGTTATCGTAAGCAAATTGATAATAACATAATATAAGGACCACGATGACAATTAATAATTGAAATCGTGAATTCTAAAATAACTCCACTTTTTAATATTATCCACATGAGTTGTCGATGTAACCATTTTCAGATTACTCAGACCTATTTAATAACATTAAAAATGTACACGTAACGAAGATATGTGTTGCCGATGCTTGCAATAAGAATCAACAAAATAAATAATAATGTTGATTGGTTGACTTGTGCTATCTTAAAATTCATGGCTTCAGTTGTGCTGTTTCGAATGTTACTGTTCTTAAAAACCATGTAAAGAGTTAAATTTGTACATTACCTTAAATATATTATTGGACCTCAGTACGCTACAAACAGCTAGGATAGACCAAGCGAATCGAATATTTCTTATTTTTCAGTTTTTCGCTTATAAAATGAAGATTTGTAAGTTTTTAACTATTTTTCACTGATATTAAAACTGAATGTTTATTAATAAGAAATTTATGAACAGAGATGTTGATTCTAAGTTTTACTATTAGTTTTTCGCTGTTAAATCTGAACTGATCTGATTCGAATCGGTCCATCATATGCGAATAACTAACATAGTGTCGAAAAGTGAATTTCTGCTATTTCGAAATTCACGACTTCAATTGCTCTTATTCATTTTCGCTATGAAAGAATAAACATTATGTAAAACGCCCAAGATTTTCGTAGCAGTTAACGTGTTAATGCAGTTCGCCCAGAACACGATAAAAATGCTTGTATATGTACGTACTCTTTCCTGCCGCAATGCTGCGCATAAATCAAAAGATAGCGGCGGTCAAGAAGCTATAACTTTTTCTCGAACGTTTCTCGCTGTTCGCTGGTCGATGTTCGTCCAGGATTACCTTCGATCGCCTTCCGTTTCGATGGAATTTCGCTCATCCAAGTATTGAACGACGGACGTACCGTGATTTTGCAGGAGTAGCTGTTGCCTGCGCTTCACTACTTTCTAATTCGAAAGAGTCAAGAAAAACGGTCAATAGTAAAAGTGGATAACTATGAAATCGAGTTACTATCGGACTGCGAATTCAATACATTCATAGCAAACACGATTAACAATGTTAATTTAATACTAACCGTACCGGGAACCGGTCAAGTGATTGAATTTGAAATTCTGCATTGTCTTTCGTTCATTTAACTTTATTCTTAATAAGTTCTTTACTTTTATTTTGTAGTCAACTATTTGACTGGTTACGGTAGGAATAGTGCCGATATGTTTAGTGTTAAACATGACACTGTGAAACAGAAACTAGCAGTTATTCTTTTTATCAATTAAAAATCGCTCATTGAAGTAATTGATTTTCGTTTTATTTTTACTTTAACACGTTCACGTCGGCGTAGACCACTGGTGGCTCACTTTGATTTCACATTAGACAGCGTGTATTATTACACATGTAGTTCGTTAACATTTAACGTACCGTGACCGGTCAAATGGCCGATTATAAAATTTGATTTAAAACTCTTGCGTTTCCTTTCGTTCATTTAACTTTATATTAATTCATATATTGCCTAATTAGTCAGTTTTTCAATTTTTGTCTTTCCTCTCTTTTCCGTTTCCACTAAGAACAATTTATCGTCTAATTTGTTAACACTGAAACTACTAAGCAGTTAAATTGACTTTTTGAAATTCCTGTATATAAACTTCAAGAGTGCATTTATTGAGACTTTAATTGATTTATAATTCAGTTCGTACATTGCTAAATAATTTTTTTTAATAACTTCTTAGAGAAACATGCGCTGTCTTTTTAATAATTGCAAAATGAAGAAATCAGGAATGGGTCATTTTGATCCGTCTGGTAGTTTTAGTGTTACGTCCAACTTGTCCAACTTCTCAATTTGGTAACTACATATTTGACCGATCATGGTTAAACTGGTGTGATAAATAGAAAAAATTGCCATATAGTTGAAAATTAATTTACTTATTGATAATTTGGAGGATGAGAATCTTCAAATCGATATCCGTTTTTCAGTTGTGATTAACATTCCACCTGTAGGTTTCGGGCTCGTTCCAATTTTCGAATTTAAACACAGATCACTGGCGACGGTCACATTATGTTCGGCACGTAAATGAATCACAGGGTTGAATTGATAATGAGAATTAGTTCATTGTCGTGAGCGAAAGATTCGCAGACAGTTGGAGATCGAAATATTCAGATCGCGCTTTGACGAAGTGCGCTCACGATCGAGAGCGAAACGATTGTGGCGATACAAATGATAGAGTCACACTTTCAACCGACCGCTTCGAGATTATTGATCGTTCCATGAGGCTGCTGCGCCACTTTCCTCTCCCACGTTTATGGTTCAAAATTTTGAGGAACCGTACGCGCCGTGAGATAAGGTTTTATGAAGGGTATTTTGTAATCGGTGTTTATTCGAAATTATAAAAAATTGAGATTCAAGAATATAGTTTTTTGGACGAATCTGGCGACTGTTTTCATTGGACTGTAAACCTGAGTAGATTGTATTTAAAATGAAAGTGAGAAATAATTGTTTGAAATAATTATTTATTTCGAACATTTATTTTTAATATTGTTATTTGAAATTGTACATGTTATCGATTCATTTGATGTAGTAAGAGTATTAAATAATGAATTGTTTCGTTGTTTCTTTCGTTACAAATATGACAAAAATAATTTTCAAAGTAATTTATTACAATTTAATTTTAATTTTAATTAAGATATTTTTGCAAGAGTTTGATTGAAGCAAAACTCTTCCTACAAAAAGGTCATCTGTGAGAGATTTTTATCTAGTCCATCTAATATTCTTGCAAAAGAGAATAATCGTTGCACTGGTGCATGTTATACTTCAGAGAAACCAGACTCTTGAGTAACCCGATACAATTTGATTAATCATTTTAAATAACCTTTCAAACAATTATAAAACAAAATAACACATTATTTAAAATAGTATTACAAATAACGTTATCTCAGAAGTAATCAAGCATATTGAAGCAACCATAAGATAAAATAAAGTGCATTTGAAATAATATTATAAATAATGTCATTTTAGAAGTGTTAATGACTTTTTAAAAAAGTTACTTCAGTCTGTAACAATCAAGAAATTGTTAATTTCTATATTCAGTAATTAAAACCTGGAGGAAACGAAACTTATACAAAGTAATAGAAAAGTCTAAAGAACGTTTTATATATATTTTGAAAATATTTACTTATAAAATTAACATCATGTCTATAGAAAAATGTGATGGCCAAAAATTCAGTATAATTTTCAAAAAAAATTCCTGTACTAAGGAGTCTGTCTATTGCTTTCCATATCTACTTATTGTAGTCACAAATTCGTGAATATACTAAAGGTGGTTCTTTATATGTTGTTATAAAGAAATAACAATTGAAATTTGACTTAAACTTCAATGAACTGATAATATATAATTGCAACTATCATATTAAGCTTTTTGAAGTAGAATATTCATTAACTATTGTCTCAATTTACATAAAGGAAAAATATATTTTATGTTGCCTATTGGATTCTTCTTAATATCTATTAGCCATATACATGAAAAAACGTACAAATTCAGTTTACATAACACTTAGGATAATTTTGATTATTTAAAAGAAAAATTTTGATAAGAAATATATATAATATAAAAATTATATTATGCGAAGCAAAGAAAGGTTTTGATTGCTGCAATTAATATCTAAAGTGATCACTCGTTGTTCATACAAAGGAGACTAGGATAAGGTGACACATCAGAATTTTTCGACAGTGAATATGCGTAGTTGAATCAAGAAGAGATGCACGAAGCTGTTTGTTTTAGTTTATAACGTAGCAGAGTGCACGTGTGTGCATAAATGTATTAACGGACTTGTTGAATTGTTCTGATCCTCTATAGTAAAAAATAGATAATTACACTGACTCTTGAAATCGTCTAGAAATGTTACACGAAATTCGTTGTTCTGATATTTATCATATAACATCATAATCTCTACAATATGTCCACGTGTCTAATCGATAGTGTTTACACATGCTTCTGGAAATACTTATATCTACTTTATACTATACAACAACAATATCACTATCTCTATTCCACGATAAGTGCAAATTTACTTCAGAAATAATAAATTCGTAATAACAAAATAATTTTTCGATCACGAACAGACTAATTAGCCTGTGAATCATTATGCATTCAAATATCGGTACATTTTCAAATTTGATTTCTATAATAGTGAATGTTCACATGAAACAAATTTTGTTCTACTCTTTTAATCTATTTTTAAATCTCGAATCATATTCTCTCCTGTTACATAAAAAAGTTTTGAAATATTTTATTCTATACTTTCAACTCGTTTTGTGTAATTATTGTATGTAGAGTACAGGAAAGGGTATTAATAGAATAATTGTATACCTATAACGAAAGAAAATTGTTGGAAGTAATGGCGATTAGATAACTGATCGCATGAAATACTTCTCAGAAATATTCATTTTTCCTCAATTTTATTTGCATTATTTACATAATTTAATAATACGAGAAGAAAAACTGATTCCGTTTCTATTCCTTGGTACAAACTATTTGGTTAAATCATAAATAATTTTCGGTTTCTTTTAGAGTTTCTCCTTTAGTTACTTTCAATATCTGTATAAAAAATGTTTATGATTTAATGGTTGTGTAAAACTATGGCGTCCTCTCTCTAAAGCCACAGTTTATTTGCATTGCTTATCTTAAAACAGATTTAATTGTTTACTTTTTTGTCATACTGAATAACCCAGAATAATAATAATCTAACTCCTATTTCTGATTTGTCAAGAAAAAAACTATTGTGAAATGTTCTTGGACTAATTAATTACTAATATTACAATGTTATTAATAATATTAGTTATTATTAATTGTCCATTATCAAAATGTTATTATTATTATTATTATTATTGTTGTTGTTGTTATTATTACTATTACTATTATTACTATTTAATTAATCCAAAAACACTCGAGAATAGTATTTTACCTCGAGAATTCAGAAATAGAAGTTAGACCACTATTATGCTAAACCATTCAATCACCTTACGATTAAATCCGATTTAATTTCGTGACGAATAAATCTATCAAACCAATTAGCGGTTAACACCGCAATGAACGGGGAAATAAGCGAACACGCTGCATTATGAATACAGTGAATCATTATAGGCTTAAACTACTATACCCCTCGAACAATTAATTACGTGAATCTAATGAATCATTTCGGGCTTGATAGTGAAAGTGAATTCTCTTGCAAGTGCTTATTAATATTAATGGAGCATTTTACTATTATTGAAACCGTAAATGTACGTTTGCGGGTAATTATCAATTAAACCTATTTATACGTGCACATAATACGGTGAGAGACGCATCAAAAAAGCGAGCTCTCAAGAAATTCGTGTCTCATGCGACTTCCTGGTTGACCACTTCAATAACATTCATGCGAAGGTATGTAGTATGCATTGATATGTTAACGTACCTGTTGAAAGTCTCAAGGAAAACCAGTTCATAAAGGGAGACAACGTTACAAAAGCTTTCATTCATGGAAAAATGAGACTGACATTTGTCCAAAGGTATTTGATCTATAACCGGATATGCGTATATGTTTAACACTGACAATTATAAATTAAATTTAATTATAAATTAAACATCATTTTTAAAGTCGTTAATTTTGGGTTTTCAAAAATAAATGAAATTAAAAAATGACCTTAATAACTGATAATTCATCACCGACGAAAATAGAAAGAGATTAATTAATGTGAATTTTGAGATGAATTAGCCTAGCACGGCTGGTATTACTGTCTCGCGCACACGGTGTGATTATGAATAAACTTTCGAGTTTTTTATTCAAAGCATTAATTTTAGGACTAATATTGATTAAGAATTGTTTACTCCCCTCGGTGAATATTATGAACATGTGAAGTCTTAAATGGTTTGCATTATATAACACTTTATGATAATATTGTTTATAACATAAGTAATTCGTACTAATCATTTCTTCAAAGAAAGGTTTCGTAACTATTTTTAATTTAGTACATTTAAATAAACTACATTTCTTTCTTTTTAATCTCTCAATCTGTTCACAGAAACCAGATCTTGTAAAATTAAAATATACGGAGAGAGACGGCAATTTCTTTCATAAATGTTGATTAATAAAACTTTCAATTTCTATAAATTATTTTTAAAAAATTAGAGGCAAGAAAAATTCTTCCTATATAACAATTTATTTTTAAAGTAAGGTAGAAGTCATACTGGTCTTTCTTAAAATTGCTATTCTGATACATTTTACATATTTAAATGTCCCATACATTCTAATAATAACAACTGTAACCGAATTGTTATTGCAAATAAAAGCGTACAATAAAATAAAAATGCAATACAAAAGAAAACAGATATTAACTAATTACCTATTAAATAAATTCAAATAATTCGTAGTGTTATTAAACCAAACCCAAATAATGAAGTAAGAACAGAAAAATACTGCAAAAATTGAAATAAAATTATATAAAATCTATTAACGAATAACGCTAACGCTTAACACGATGTAACAAAAATACTAAAAAATGTATACCTCTATGATTAATTTTGTTGGTTGAAACAACTGATCCTTTAAATCAAATCCATAGGCACTGGAATGTCACTGTTGCATCGTATTGTTACTTATCTCACAAATTCACAACTAATAAATTGTAAACCAATGTTATTAATATTAAAAGTATTATCAAAAATGTATATACATACAGGCACTATTATAATACAAGAATTACTATGTTGTATTATAATTTATTATGATAAATGTGAGCAATGAATTTATAAGTACTAAGCGAAATGATCTTAACACTATGTGGAATGGAGCGACTGACCGGAATAAACGGAAAACGTAAAGTGGGTAAGTAGTCGACGGCGCAGGTAGAAGTTGAACATATAGCAGACTGAAAATTGTTCTCTACGCCAATCGGAGCACCGCGTCGCCGGTTAATGGTCCGAATATTATGCAATACTAATCTAATGCGGTAATTCAAAAATATTTTCTCACTTCCGGCTGCGAGTACTATTGTCATTAACCTTTTTGTATGGACTTCCTGTGGCCATTTGTTAGCCAGTTGATTCCAAACATTCATGCATATCTATTTTGTTCAAGGATCGAGTTATAAAAACTAAAATTATGTTAGCCATTCGGTTAGCCAAAATGTCTTTTCATATTTTTTAGGAAAGAAATAACTTAATTTTATTAGATGAATTATTATTAAAATATTAAGGTGTGTATTTCTTTAGCAAATTACTATTCGATATGTCAGCACATTCATTTATATATAATGTTCATTAATGCATCATAATATAAAGTCATGTTAACCCTTTGTGACGATGTGTTTGCAGCTTGCAAACACTTAATTTTTCTACTATTTCTCGAATTTATAATGCGATTTCAAACTGCAAACATGCTTTGGTTGTGCGAGGCAAAAGATGAATTCAAACTGTAAAAATACATATTCATTATGTCTTATTATAATATTTCAAACCTTCCAAGAGATTTTCATGATTTAGGAGTCACGTGTCATAGAGTTAAAGAAAACGTGAAGGTATTTTGGAATAACGTGATATAATATCACAAAATTTTATACAATTTGTAGCTTATCACTAAAAACTTTAAAAAAAGATAGAGAAAATTTGAATATTTCGATCATATTTTGTCTTGTATATGTTTTGCATTGTTTTATAGACGTATAAACATTCGCGATCCAATTATTTCTGGTAACAAAACATTTGTAGTTATTTCTAATATGGATTACTTAGCATTAAAGAATAATGTAAATGTATATTTTGTAATTTAAATTAATATATGTGATTAATTTATAGAACAAACGTAATATCCATGACATGCTTAGACAACGACTGAGCAACGACAAACTACAAACAATTGATTGAAATAAGCGAAAATTGTTTCTAATGTAATATCAATGTGTTGCTATGCTATCTATGTTACATATTGGGCGTAATCTTCTAACATAAGAAACACTCTGTATTTATATTAACAACATTGCAATTGTGTAATTAATTGTTCAGACTGTCATGTAGCTAGAAGCATCTTCTGGTCAATTCTCCCATCACATAACAGTTAATAATGATTTACGTTAGCATATAGATGTTTTAATATTTAAAGTGCTCTTAAGTGATTCACTTGATAATGAATTTTTTTCAATTTGTATAATCTAACAACTGTTGCAGTAAAATTAAAATATCGGCAGTTGCTCGTAGCAACTATCATGATTCGTTAATACAATTACGACGTATAACAGATGTTGGACATTAAAATTAGAACACTAATTCTTTCGCGTATTTACATTATACTTCAACAAACTTTTAAATAAAACAAAATGAAAATATTGGGTAACGTAAATACAATTAGTATCCACGTTCGAAATATTATTGAGGCTGATGGAAGAAAATGAATTTTAAATCTATGTTTGGCAAAGAAAAATCTACAGCAATTACTAATTGGTTGTTAAAATATTAAATTACACATTGAACATGGTAATTGGTACATCGGACTGCCATTGAATTTTCCAATATAATCTAGGGCAGGATCAACCAAATCAGTGCCATTGCGTGCATTCGTGCTAGACATGAACATTTCACTGCCTGATGCAGTCTACTGATTCCTCTAATAAACAGAAGTCATTTTGTGTTTATAGGATATTCTCCTTTCGTTTCTACATTTTGCGTTACAATTATTATTTGATAAAGGAGAATTTAAAATAACTCCTGAGATTCTTAATGGACGTAGATTACGTGACAAAATATAACAAGAGGTATACGATATACTAATTTAACAGCAATCTTTGAAAAATTAAATCAGGATATCAAAAGGACCATTATCTGTGGTTTAATAAAGAATGATGTCTAATATCATCACTTTTTCCGAGCATTGAAGGTTATGATATACATAAAAAGAAACTCGGTTTTTAATACGCGTTTTAGAATAATTTACAATATACATTTATTAATTTAAAACTGCACAGCTGTTGGTCCCCTTTATAGAACATTTTCTTCGTTAAAAACATGGTTATATCTCCAAGAAATCTAGATTGCTTTTTATATATCATTAATTTAAAAAAAATATATCAATTTTCATATTATTTGAAACATTGGTAACTTGGGCAGTAAGAGGTGTAGGGTGGGCAGTTATATTTTATACGAAAATGGTTGCCCCATCTAGTGTAGGAAAGAGGTAACTCAAATCCCATTCTACGATGTGTAAAAATGTCAACCATATGAGATTAAATATGTGTTTGCGTTGATATTCCATGAGTCACATCCTTCAGAATAAAATATTTCTAATCATAACAATACATACTCGATTAGAATATTTAATATTGATGCTTTTATGTTTGGTATCGCATCTCGTACAAGTACAAATTATTTTGCTTAACGTGTTACCTTAAAGATTTTGTTAATCAATCGCAGTGCTCTTATCATAACATTAATGATATTTTTATAAAGTGAGCTAAATCACATTACGTTTGTCATTTGTGAAAATGATGAAATCTTTGCCGAATGGGCAATGACCAATGCTATTTTGGCAAACTGAAGGTGGTTGTGTTGTATATATGGAATATCATTATATTCTAATAAACGCTTAACCTTGTTTCAATCACTAATTTTTGTCGATAAAACCAGTACTAATTTTTTTTTAATATATTTATAGAAAAACAGAACATTTCATACATATGATACACTAAAGATTATCAATTAGTATAAATAGTATTTATAGTGATTCTAAAAATGGACAGCATTTTCACACAAAACATCTTAGATGAACCAGAGGATATACCACAGACAGATGAGCCAGTTTGGGTTCTTGGAAAAAAATACAATGCTATCAAAGGTTTAACAGATAATTATAACAAAGAAATATTTAATAACTTAGATGCATAAGATCTCAAATTTCAGAATTGGATGCAATTCGTAAAGACATAAGGTCTAAATTATGGTTTACCTATCGTAAAAACTTTGTACCAATTGGTGAATCTAACACTACATTTACATCCGACAAAGGTTGGGGTTGTATGTTAAGATGTGGGCAAATGGTCCTTGGACAAGCTTTAATTACCTTACATTTAGGTAATTTGCATTTAAGTCAACAATTAAATTATGATATTACAATAAAATATTTTTTATTATATTTGATTTTAATAATTAATACTTTTATATTTACGCCAGCAAAATAATATTTAAAGATCAAATTTTTAACATTGTATAACATACACATAAAAATAGGTAAAGATTGGCAATGGACACCAGAAACTAGAAATAGTACGTACCTGAAAATTCTGGAAAGATTTAAAGATAAAAAGACTGCTGTATATTCAATTCACCAAATTGCGGTAACTGGAGCAACAGAAGGAAAAGAAGTTGGACAATGGTTTGGTCCCAATACAATAGCACAAGTATTAAAGTACATATTTACTGATTGTACATGTGTATTATTGTATATTAACAATATTTTGTATTATCGAACTGTAATTTTTAGAAAATTAGTTGTGTACGATGATTGGAGCTCGATTACAATACACGTGGCTCTAGACAATACATTAATAGTTAACGATATTTGTAAGTACAGATAATTCGATAATTTACTATAGTCTACATGTTTTTATATTGAAGTATAAAATTTAATTTTACCTTTACAGTAAGACAATGTAGAGTAGAAGGAGGTACCACAGCAGAAGCAGATGGTGACATACCATTAAAAGCACCTAGCCAATGGAAGCCTTTATTACTTTTAATACCTCTTCGCCTTGGGTTAAGCGAGATTAATCCTATCTACATTAACGGGCTTAAAGTAATAAAGAAATAAATGTTCTTGCATGAATGGCTAAACATGGACTGAAACATGAATGAAGTGAAGGATAATATATGCATACCTATAATTTTTCAGACTTCATTCAAAATCCCACAATCTCTAGGAGTAATAGGAGGAAAACCCAATCTTGCTTTATATTTCATAGGATGTGTTGGTATGTATATATTCTCTGTTTCTAAAAAATTTAATGTAACGGAAAATAAATAATAATATTTTCAGGAAACGAAGTAATTTATTTAGATCCTCACACAACGCAAAGATCAGGTAGTGTTAATAAAAAATTAGAGGAGGACGAAATTGAAATGGACACTACTTATCATTGTAAATCTGCTAGTCGTATTCCTATTACAGGAATAGATCCTTCTGTAGCATTAGTAAGTGAATAATTAGATCTATCGATTAAGAAATAATTCTTATTTAATTATATAAATAAATAAATAAACGAATAATGCTTTTCTTTCTTCCAGTGTTTTTTTTGTGCAACTGAAAAAGATTTTAAATCTTTGTGCAACTCTATTCAAGAAGAACTGATTATTCCAGAAAAACAACCTCTATTAGAATTGTGTACGGAGAGATTGACACAGTGGTCCCCATCCGATGATGCTGCTTCGGAAGCAATAGCAGCTACAAGTTGTAAATACTTCTATATACATATCATATACTGAATAAAATTAAATATTTTAGTAAGGAAATTATGTTTTTAAATACGTATTATCTACATTTTATAAATTCATAATAATTTATTAATAACATATAAAAGAATTAAAATTAAATTCTTACAAATAGTCCGTTTTTATATTATTTGATTATTTTGTAATATTTTATTCAGTAAATTGGATTTAAAATAGTTTATCTTAATGTACCTCTTTCTAGTTGTAGATCTTCAATATGTAGATTCCCAGTCTGATACATCTGACGAGGACTTTGAATTACTTGGTTGACACTTAATCACCAATTAAAATCAATATGCAATACGAGAAATATGTATATAATAGCCTGAATGTTCCACTGACATACATAAGAATGAAACATAATTATTCATTGGATATGCAGACTTCAACTAAACTAGTACTGTTGCAGTACTAGGTGATGGAAAATAAAATAATTTATACCAAACAATATAAACATTGTATATATTACTTATATTTAAATTTTTCGGACATGAGTGATCTATGCATTGTTAATACGATATATAAATTTGGATACTAATAAAAAGCTCTGCATAAAGAGATACTTGATTTCGCCTACAATACGATATGTACTTACATATACATAAATATATATACATATATATTAATTACACTAATATTAATTTATGCTAGTTTAATTAACTAATAATCAATCCACATCAAATGTAAATGGCTGTTATGCTGAGGGAATATAATACGTATTTATGTTTCTTCAAAGTACAATTGTGATATATTAATTTTTAAAATGTTTATCGTGTTGTTTGTCAGTTTTGTAGCTTAAGTGCTATATGTATAAAAAAAATATTTAAAAATATTTTATGTACAATTTTTTATAATAAAATTTTTAAAAACATTTGAATACTCACGAAAGTATTTAAATGTTAAAAATAATTTCAAGAAATTGTCTGTATAGAAATATCGTACACGTATGACTACTTGTTGTATACCAATGAAATAGTTAAATTAAAAAAGTGTGAACACTCATGTCCTTAAAATATTTTTGCCTTCTTTAGCATATAATGCATACAAGAATTGGAATATGCACTAATGTATATAGAATTTGCAATGTGTTCAGGAAGTAAATGTGAATTTTTCAGATTTTATTATTCTTTATTTCCGAAACGAACAAGGGAACTTGTATTGTTGAAATAAACATTCAGAAATTTGAAATATTAATGCCTTTAAGTAATAAAATAAGAAGAGTAATATAAATTTATGCAAAAAAGAAGGTAAATCAATGTTAATTTATATTATATATTAATTGCATTAATAACATGTCAAAGTATACAACTAACTGTGTTAATAATTATTACACGCGAATTATATTTATATTCTCTGAATACTCATAAACGCTGCATTAAATTGTAAAAACATTCTGTGGTTCAAAGTTCAATGTATTTATAAAATTTTATATAACGGAATGAAAAATATAACTGTTTCTAAATATGCTTAAAAAAATCATTTTCAACGTTACATTATTACATGTAACTAGTTGAATATACATTAACGTTACGATAAAATTTATTCAAATTTAATATATTTACAGTTTTATAAACTTTATTC